AGAAAGAGCTAAGGGAAACGAACAAAACTTGCTCGTTGCACAAATTTTCCTTTTCATTTCTCTCTCTTTTTTTTGCAGAGAAGCTGCGATTTCCTTCTTATTTGAAGATATATCATGCATTATTCAATCCAATTCCATTCGTTTTCCGAATAAAAATATTTGACGAATTCTTTTGGATAAACGAATTTATTAAAGAAAAATAAATCAATTTTAGATATTGCTTTCCAGAATGTAAACACTTTCAGATATGCCAGTTTAAATACATATTCGGTAATTGAATAACCGAAATTCGCATAATTCGATGTTCCACTTGTGTTTACATCTTGCTATCTCCTTGAAATTTCAAATTCGTAATAAAAGCAAATAAGAATTAAAAAAATACGACGAATAAATCTAATAAAAAAAAAAAGGAAAGAAAAATGTGTGGAAAGGAATGAATAAAAAAAGGAAGCGAAAATAAAACAAGATAATGTGGTAAAAAAGGAAGGAAAAAATCGAAGGAGTTTAAAATAGAGAAGTAGCAAAATAAAAGCAAGATGGGAAAAGTAAATTTGTATTTCTCGTAGCTGAGAGAAAGAGCGAAGAAAAGACCGAGCAGATTTGAAAGGATAGAACGCAATCTCGAAACGGTGTTAAAAAATTCATGAAAATGAATACAACCGTCAAGCGTTGTTTATTTGTCATATTTTATCTCAACTTTGACTCGAGTGTCTGCTATATTTCTTAAAGAAAAAATTTCTACGATATTTAAATATCCGTACAATTTCTCCTCCTTCGCAAGTTTGTCAACGGTAAAGCATAACAAATGGTGACAGTAGAAAACGGGTTGTCATTACCATTAATCAGACTGTTTCAATGAAAACACGTTCGAAGGCTGTATTACGCATCCGATATCGATCTCGCGTGGCATAAAGGCCATGATTATGCGTGCGAAACAACCCCGGCACAAATACACGCGCATAACCGCGGTAAGCACGATCCAAGTTTCGTTAAAAGCCTCGTGAACAGAAAGAGAGAAGAGCGGTTTATTTTTATTTTTGTCTGGCGAGCGTTAAATGAAAATGGGTCGAGGCGTCTGTGCTCATTTGCGCTCCTTCTTTTTATTTCTTTACCAAAGTGGTGCTGTTCCTGTCGCTACAAAAGGCGCGACACTACTCGAGATCGTATATACGAGGCACCGGGATGCATTACGCCTATATATCGTACCACCCTTCCTTTTCCCTCCCTTATCCCCTGTTATTTATTTATTTTTGAAAACGCGTTTGGAAACTTTTGCACGTGAAACATTGAAACCAACCACGGCTACATCGATGTGTTGCGTGGACCACCGATTAATAAGAAAAACGTTCTCCAGAGTATTTTTCGACGCTGCCGCGTGTAACGAGCAAAAAGTTTCGGCCGGTAAAAAAGGAAACTGGGATGCGTTCGTATTTGGACACCGGTCTCGTTAATATTCGCCACGTAGCGAAAGGAACCGAACCTCGCGGGCGTATACACACGTGAGACGCGGCTCGACGCGATGCGATTGTTAGTGGGCCAGGGCTTCGCCAAAATTCGTTGACCGAGCTTGGCCTTCGTCTCATCGTATCGGGAGAAAGAGAAAGAAGAAGAAGAAGAAGAAGGGAGGAGAATCGGTGGAGCGAAGGAAGCGAGGCCAAATACAAGGAAAAGGACAAAAAGGGTGAAGTACTTGGTGGAGGGAGGAAGAGCAGAGGCGAAAAGGAAAGGAAAGAGTGAAAGAACAAAAGGAACAGAGCGATCTCCTTAAGAGAAATGCGTGGGAATTGAACCATGTGGCCCGAGGACTGGTTCGCGAAATATCGCATTGCGAAAGTACGCGTACACTCACAGAGAAAAGGAAGCTAAGAGTATACGTATACGTGTAATATATATATATACATGAGAGACTGAGGGAAACTGGCGTGCATATGAAAGTTCTCGATTCTATTTATCCGAGAGTTAGTTTTCATTTTAAATGAGAATTTTGTATACAACTCGAGTCAGCTTAAAGAAGCTTAAAGAAGATCAATTTCATCGTAATTAAAATTTAAAAGAGAAATCAAAAATAAAAAAAAAAAAAAAAAAGAAAGAAAGAAAAAAATGCAGAGAATTAATTGTATCGAGAAACGCGATCATAATTAGGGCACGCGAAAATTTCTACGATTTTCAATTATTAGAAATAAATTACAGGCGCAATATGCGTTAAAAGTAAGCGCACAATGCGCATGTATGTCAGTCGGGACAAGAACCCCGGAGTGCCGCATGACTCGTAACTACTGCTGTGAATTAACAGCTGATTTTCCGCATACAAGTATTATATACGCGTTGCATTCAAATATCGTAACGAACGAGTAAATTGCTTTCAGAAACGGAAAATTTATACAAATGTTGGATTGTTTCGACAAATCGCGTCACAAGATGAAGCAAATGTAAATATTTTAATAATACTAAAAGATACAATGACTTTTGAATACATGTATCTTTTCCGCTAATAAATTGATAATTGTTTTTATCTATGCATACATGAAATGTACATTTTACAATTACGTCAACGAAGCTTAAAATATTAATTATTTTTAGATTTTGAATATATAAATAGATACGTACAAATTAGTTGATAATTATTTGAAAAATATTTTCTATACGATTTAAAATTCTTCAATTTTGACTCGATATCAAAACTATTTCTTTGAACAATATTAGCTCACTCGGGCGTCATATAACATATGTTTCTACATTATCTATCCAAAATATCAGGTGACGAACCATATGTGCCTGGATGGAAAGAATTATCGGCGCTTAAAAAGTTATCAAATAAATTACAATGTACAAAAATGAAGGAACGAAAAAAATCTTTGTAAAAGATAAAACCGTCGTCAAGTTTAAAAAGTTGAAAAGAAAATAGACAGAAAATTTAAATTTTTAAAATGAGACGCATAAATCACAAGCTTTGCTCAAAATATAAAAAAAACACATACATATATATATATATTCATCGCGATAATTAAAACGAACGAAACAAATCTTCTATACTTGCGTTCCCTATAATAATAATAACTTTAAATCGAAAAAGAAGGAAGAGAGAGAGAGAGAGAGAGGCGAACGTACGAAGGGAGAGCCAAGAGCCGTAGAGTTCATCGTGTATCTTCCAATTAAACGATAACAGGCGTCAGCTGATATTTGCAACGTCATAGAGAAGCAACCGTATAAGGGCAAACTAAAGCGGTCAGTGTCACACGGTGTGGACTATGGGCGAGACAAACGATTAAAGCACCGACATGACTAGGCATACGAGGCGGATCGAGTGGGTCTAGTTTAACGGCGTGGGATCGGCCGACGACTTTCACATGCTAAAATTAGTCGGACAACGCCGCGCGACAATTCGTAAAAGCCGCCGCCGCCGCCTAACCCGTCGTCGTTGTCGGCATTGCGTAATATTCTAGTACATTCACGCGAAAACGATTGGGCTTTATTGGCGAATTCACCTTACCAAAGAGAAACAGGTTACCGTTTCCGGTCCACGTGCTAACCTTAGTAGGAGCGACATCCTGTTAAGGACACATCGTCAGCCACTAACGTGACCGTACGCGGCGAAACATTACGCCCATAAAATAAATTATTCTCGCCTTAACGGTACCTAATGAGATCGTTTATTGCTCGAATATATGCAATAAACTATACCTATGTTTTTCCTTGATTGGAAAATGATATGAACGTGAGTTTCCCAACAACTGTTGCAAATAATCGATTTAAATATAAGTGTACGTATATTTTCCGAATCATATTTTTTAGAGAAAAAAAATTCTTGCGATAGAAACTATCTAATACCTAATGGTCGTAAAATCTGTCTTATTGAAAAAGAAAAAAATATTGCATATACAATATTGAGTTAACTTCATTCTAGATCAATTATTCATTTCTCATTCACTATTGGTTATTAACAGTGATGATTTTATTTTTATTATTGATATTAAGTATTTTTGATCGAGTGTAGTAATAATGAATAAATTAAATTGTTAAAAATTAAACAAACAATTTTTTTTTGTCATCTCATTGTCTCATCAAACACGTACCATTCAGAATGACGAATGAAAGAATGCATCGGATGAATGAAGTGTTGCAGAATAGTATTATTTAAAAACCGTACATCACTCGTGCAGTACGTAGTATGCTCATTATCAATCTTAATCACGTGCAAAAAGTACAGCATAAGAATAATTTTTTATACGCATTGCACATTTTGCATTCAATCGGATTAGTCGTTCTAATACAGAAAAAAAATGTTATGTTGGAATTAGTTGTGAATGATTAATCTTACGAAAAAGAAAACAAAAACAAAAGATAAAATAAAAATAAAAAAAATTAAAGGAAGAAAATTATTTATAAATATCAACTTCTTCCTTTTTGTACGTGCAAATGATGGCTAATATGACTACAATTCGAGATATTAACTCTTTGAATTCATTCTATATATGTATTTATAATAGTATTATCTAAAAAGGGATTGGTCAAACATTCAATAATCATTACGAATTCAAAGAGTCAAGTTATTTTGATGAGGTAAGCCAAAAAGAGATGATATATAAGCCGAAGATTAATTCTTCCTCCAGCACAGGTAACTTATTGGAGGAAGCGTAACAGATATCGCGTTTGATATGGTAAAAGCTTCTAAAACTACTGAAAGATGATGATGATACAAAATATATGCTTTCGTTTGGAGAAACCTACACCGATCATAAACTAAATCAATCATACACTCTTCTCCATCCTATGAAAAATATCCTAAATTAACTTTTATTCTGTTCAGACAATTCGATTTTGATCGAACATTTCAAAGTTTTTATAGGAATCGTTCATTGCTTCTCATGCCAAAATTTTCTCATAAATTCGTCATAAATTTGAAACGAGAAAACGATGATGAACTTTGTACAAGGATGATTCCCGATAGCAGAATAATTGTAGGTTATCGAATGAGGAGGAACACAATGCCAACCACTTACCTTAGAAAGTTTCTCGCCCTCGTGGTGCGGTAGCAACGTCCTCAGCGACTGGAAACCGGCGTTAATACTTTGCATCCGACGTCGTTCATTGCTGTTGGCGATTTCTCGCCGCATACGCTTCTCCTGCTCCATGTGGCTTCGCGGTGTCACACGGCCGACGTTGCTGGTACTATTGCCGTTGCTCAGCGCAACGTTTTGACCAGCAACACGGCGAGATACTGCGCCGTTGCTCTTTGATTGCTGTTGCTGTTGATCTTGCGAATCAACGACCTCGGCGATCGTCACGCTCGTGGCCACCGAGCCCTCCTCCACTGTTCCAATGCTTCTGCAAAAATATTAATTATATAATATATGTAGAAATTAATACGAGACAAAGGATAATAACAAGTATCAGATGGAAAATTTATTATTCTGCAAACATTGTAAGGAACACATTCGTTTGATGGCGCGCAACAAGCGCCGGTTGCAGTCTCTCGAAAAAACGTTTTGGCGTGGCAACCAAAGAGATACAAAATCAAAGAGGACACTGACACCGACCGGCGTGTACATATCTCTCTCTGTATGCGCCCCATATGACGCATCCACGTTTCGCCGAGTTTTGTGGTGGCTCTGAATATTTGATTTACCAAGTAGATACCAAAGTGAGATATACACCGCGCAGAAATCAACGCGCAGACGGAAATATAAAAAAAAAAAAACGGCTGTCTGTCTGGATCCAAGGGCTTTTAAGAAAATTGAAAGCGTCTACCACGTTGTATCACGTTGTTTCAACTACATAGAAGCCACGGATTTATCGACGGTTAAATTCGCGGTCAATGAAGCGAGACGTCATTGTCGTTCTGTGGTTACAGTTTCAAAGGTTCTGCTAAGCCTGCACGCAATGCCACGCCACGTAAAATTATTCCTATGTCTCCTTGCACAATCTCTTTCTTTTTTAAATTCTTTTTACAATCCCGTGCAACGAAAATTTCTATACACGTATGTGTGTTTCAATGTCAACGTTTCGTGTTTCGCAATGATTTGCCGAGATTAAAATATTCTTTTTCCAATGTTTTTCCAACAATGGGTATACAAGAAAAATAATTAAACGAGATTGTAGATATCCGAGACAATGTTGGCTGAGAATTTTTTTATATCTGCATAAAAATAAATATAATTTGCATTTATATAATAAATTATAATCTTTTTCATTTATTTAAATGTGACAAGGAATAATTGCAAAGTTAGAAGAGTTTGTAAGTATCAACGTATTCTTACAAAAGTTAGAGAAATGTAAACAAATATCTTTGATTTCGTTTATCATGAAGTAATTATTATTAATGAAAGAGAGATGCATATTCGGGGAAAATTAACAATTGAACGAAACGATGTATCATTGCAATAACAAACGAAGAGATAAACGTTTCTCTGAAGAAACGGTGGAAGAAGAATGGAAAAGAAAGACGAGAAATAAGTGATGCAGCCTCCACTAGGAAACATCTGGTAAAATTACACGGAGACGTGGCGGAGACGATAGAGAGAAAGAGAAAAGAGGGAAAAGATTGGAATGGCGGATGTGAGATGAGTCAGCAGGGAAAGACCGTGACCTTGTGCCCTGCTCTCTGAAACATTCGTTCAGCGCGTGCCGATAATAGAAGTGGAATATATCCATATGTATATACGTGTAATATGAAGAAAACTGTATGAGTGCACATACCATACGCATAACGTAACGAAATGATAATTTTATAAAAATAAAAAAAATTCATAAAATCAGAACACGATCTTATCTTGATACTTAATATCGTATATCTCAATTCGATTTACAAGCGATAATTTTTCTATCTAAATGGGATAACAGTATTATATTCAAAAAATTTTTCGTTGTTTAAAACATCTAGAGATATCTTTCTCGTATAATCTTTGAACTTCGAGTATTTAGATTTATATCGATATGATTGGTACAATTGTCAATTGAATTAATTGAAATGAAAATAATTAAAGAAAAAATATTATACGTGTACAAGATGTTTCGAAATATAAGAATAATCTAAATGAAGCATAAGAATAATCTAAAAATGAAAAATATATATATATATGAATGTAAAGCTCGGGAGAATATGAACGAGTGCCATATTGATCAACGCCTGATGAAGTCATTGGACTTCCTACAGGATATGGAATAATAACACGTGGTCCATGCTGCGGAATTCCACATGGTACTCTCCCATCGAGTGGTTACATTAGATCAGCTGGTACGCCGACGGCTTACTGGCTGGATGGTTGGCTGCTGTGACGTCAGCTCGTTCGTCGGATACCCGCTGAGTTCTCTCGGATCAGTTCCGTAGAAGTAGGTCGACTAAGTAGGTGGCTACCTTCCTTTTCATCGTAGATTTATATATATATATGTATATATATACATACATGTACATATACATGTATTGTTCTTTCAAAAGAAGATTCATCCGGTTAACGAGCCGTTGCTAATAGATACGAAAATTTCAGACCCGCATCGCCCACGCTACTTAAAGCTTAGAACACCATCGTCGCTATCGTCATCCGAAAAGAATGTCGGCCCCTGAACGAAGGAATCGTTTGTCGCTCTTGTACGATCTACCTGAAAATAATCTATGACGTTCTTTTTTTTTCTTTTTTTTTTTTTTTTGTAAGTTAACAAGATTACGTTGCTACTCCGATTTCAAGTTGACGATATATTTTCTATGAAACTCGAGTTTATCGTATCATACACGTTCGTTGAACAAGCGTTATCGTATCAGATAATAATGGCGACGTTGAAATTGAATGACTTTTTTCAAAAGATTATTCGTGTAAGGCGGATGCTGGATCCGTAGTATGTCAGTAAAAAATTTGAAAAGTGAAAAATCATGAAATTGAATTTCAAAAATTTCGATTCACGATAGAATTTGTTTTGCAACTATTATATAAGAGATTATATATGTATTGACTAATATTACTATATTATCATTATTGAGCTAATATTTTGAAAACTTCGAATTACGTAACTATTATAACAACTCCAATTCAATATTTCCTTCTCGAACGTATATGTAACGTATATGTAAATATGTAATGTTAAAAAAATATGCAGAAAAATCAAATTTGCACGAAATCATAACGAGTGGCCGAGAATCAAATTCAACGACTGTCATCAATATATATATATATATAATATCGCGTAAAGATAAAAGAAATTTCCGATACACATCATCAAAGATACGTTCTGTCTCCCGTTGATCGTTCGAACAACGAAACGAGAAGAACATAGACATGGAGGCGTGCGAATGTTTTCACGCGGCATACGTGCAGACGCGGGCGTGCGAGCGCGAGCGCGAAAAAACAGCTAAATACGCCGCGGAATTGCGCCTATATACGCGCACACGGATGTTCGAATCTGGTGCCACGTCCGCGTTCCGCGTATGTGTCGGTGCTAGATGCTCTCGCGCACGCGCGGCTGTGTATTAGTGAGAGAGCCGCGAGAGAGAGACATGCGGATTGTGCGGTTGTGTGTCGGCGACGCGCCGCTCTCGGTCGGCTCGCGTGAGTCACCAACAGCTGATGGCTGGCGCCACTCAGCTGGTTGTTACCGGTGCCTTCGCACGAGCCTCGCTATCTCTGGCTGCCTATCAGCTGCGAGCAACTAGGAAAACGACCGGAAAGGACGTCTTGTCGAGCTCTATAAAAAAACCAGAGAGAAAAAGTGCCGTGGTTACGCGACGACGTCTACGATGGCGTTGGCGTTCCTTCGAGCCTTCCAACCTGATCGCCTTGTCGGGTATAAATGAAACACGTAGTCGAAACACGCACCGAGAAGATTACATACACGCTTCCGTTTCACTTCAGATTCCATGCCCGATCGAGTAATTCCCCGGGTGGAAATATTTAGATATACGTGTACGCGACGTGCAACGTTCTGTCGTATAACGGAAAAGGTCAAGGTTCATTGAAAAGTTGAGTAAATTCGTACCGTTTGAGAATCTTGGCCGTTTCATTCATCGCTTTGAATACGGTTCATAGAGTACTTTGGTTATTTTAGGATCTATCTGTTCCACGATTGCTGGATGCAACGATCTGATGTTACGCCATTTGTTTGTCGATATACGCGTACGCTGATCTTGCACGAATAATTTTAGTGTTTCAAGTATCAAGAATGGGTTTTGATACGCGATCGAGATTACTGTACATATATTTTATAATTAAAAAATTTATTTTATAATTAAAAAAATTTTACGTCATGCGAATTTTAATACATAATCTGTTTTCTATCCGTTAATATTATGTTTACCTTTCTATAACATTTTATTTATTTTCAACATTATATAATTCTCTTTTTACTTTGAGTATGTGTCAACAACTATCCTATTACCATAAATAAAATCATAATATTTTTTCTTATCTTTTTTTTCCTTATCTATACAAGTTTTTTGTAAAAGAAAAAAAAAGGAAAAAAATTGAATAAAGAATTTTTTATGCGTATATTATGCGTTGAAATAAATCTAGAGATAAAATATAATTAAACTTATAAAAAAATATATAAAATAAAAAAAGATAAATAAAAGAAAAAAAAGAAATAATATATTCAATCAAATATGAAATAAAAGTATAAAAATAATGAAATTTTGAATTTTTTCTAAGTCACCCGGTATACACATCCAAGGCTAAGTTTAGGTAGAACAGGGGAACTGCACGACGTTCTTCGAATGGTCGTGAAACAGACTTGTATAGGTGCCTTTACCTACTATCTGCGCGTTTATGTGAGTCTGTTCGTTTACGTTGGGGTTTGGACACCCTAGCCAACTACCCAACCTCGGAAACCTCCCTACCTTCCTATGAACGAAGCCTATCAGACGCACTGCGGAGACCTATCTTCTTTTTTTTTTCCTTTTATTTTATTTCTCTTATACCATCGATTAAACTCTCTTCAATTTTTTTTGTCTCATGCTTTAATAAGAAAAATTTAATATAATGATATAAATAGTACGTATAAAACATACTTGAAAATATTGAAGATATAAATAAATTTTAAAAAGAAAATTTATAATAGAAATATTAAATAAATAACATACTCGAATTTTGATATTTAGATAGGAATTGATGTGAATTAAAATGAATGCATTTTTTTTTAAATATATTTGAAGATGAAACGAATTTTTTATTCTGTCGTAAGTTTCATAATGCGTTAATGTGAATTCAATTCAAAGATTAATCATTTTGTATTCGATTCCTTCAATTACAGTTAGTTAGGAAGATATTTGAGCAAAGTGGTTTCAGAGGAAAAAATAGGAGCAAATAAGCGTAAAGATTGCTGCCAGCAGCAGCTGTTATACG